GGTTTATGTAAATAATGAAAAAAGAGCTCGCTGCAGGCCTCTATGAAATATCCTGGCATGCATGACCCGTCTGCCCCATAGCCAAATATACATCTTTGCTCGCATGTGTGATCAATTTCAGCGTCTATACACGTGTATATACAGCCAGCGAAGACTTAAGGCCATATTGCAAAATTAAAGCACAAAAGCGCCTAAAATAATATTCTTTTCGTTGGGGGCTGATTTAGTATATTCCAGAGCGGGAAAGTTAAATGGAAAAAGAAGCTCATGTAATTGTCAAATGCGCACTGGAGAAAGCTTTAAAAATTCTTGAAACCCTTGGCCCTGAATAAGAGAGAAGCTTTAATAAGGTTTTTTTTGGGTTGGTTATAAAAAAAAAAGAGAAAATATATATGTATATGCCGTGGGCTCGGAACTGCCTAGCTGCCTCATCGTGCGGCAAAGCTGTTTGTTGAGATTTGCTGCAAACCAGGGAGAAAGTAATATAAAAAAAAATATATATATATACCTTCATTAGCAGCCGTGATTTTAATGAATAGGTGATAAACACTTTGTTGAAGTTGCCGAGATAAAGTAAACACGGCAGTTGTTCACATTTAGCATACACATTAGCCTAAAACTTAAAACAGATTAACAGAGAATGCCTGTTAAAGTAAAACGTGCTGTGCAGCTGGAATAAGATTCTATATCAATGAAGTTTAAATTGAGAGCGAAGTTTCTTCCAGAGATGGGCTAGGAGTATGGAGAGTTAGTTGAAGATTTGGGCGATTTGTACTGCGATTTAAAAAATTGTAGCTGAGGTATGTTGCATCAGTTACATCCATTAGATATTTTTTGTGATGTTTTTGTCAGGGTCTACTAATTCTTCATTCGGATAAGTTTAGCTGAAAAGCTTGCCATTTAAATTAGAGAGTGATACTTTTATAGATACTCCATTAGCTACATGTAATAAAATTATGAAAAAAAAAAAAACAGTAAATGTTAAAAGCCTTGCATAAGTTTGTTAGCCCAGTTTGCGAGGCCCTATTTATTCTGTTATCTCTTTTATTGATTTATGAATTTAAAAACTAATGACAAATTTATTATAATTGTACAAAAAAAAACAACCCCATAATTTGTTGTTTCCATTATCTGCACAGCAATTGATTTTTAACATAAAAGCATATGTAAACATATATTATATACAATATATGTAGTATATATATATATATATATATGTATATATGTATATATGTACAATTTTCTGCTGCTGTACACAAATTTGTCTATTTTGTGAGCTTATTTTTCGCCACGCACACAGTTTTGCATATTTATTATTTATTTATTTTAGCGCACAAACAATAACTCACACGGACAGCCAATTAATCAGAAATTGACATTCAATTAAATTACAAAATATAATAACGCAGTGAGAATGAACCAAATTTAAATTTATTTGTAAATAATGCCAGCAGCGAAACTGTGCTCAATATTATTATAGGCAAATTGAATGAAACAACAGTTTTTTGTATCGCCAAATTGTCAGATTGCATAAATTATGTATTTATTTGAATAAACTTTAAATTGTGCTGGCGCAAGCAAAACGGAAATGGGCACATGCAAAAACCCGATGGGATAGGCCATGGCTTTGTCATTGCAAAGTGCGGCCTAATTAGCTTGGTAAAGGCTTAGAAAATATGTTTACATAAAATTGAAGTGGAAAAGCGTGTAAAGCAGAAACGAAACGAAACGAAACGAAGCGAAATATGCAGATGGGCTAATGTGTGGAGAAAACTGTGCTGGGAAACGAAGAAACACACAGCAAGACAAGCCAAGACACAACAAACAACAACTAGAAAAAAGAAAACTGTGTCAAACGTCAACGACTTCATTGATGTTGCTGTTGTTGTTGCTGTTGTTGTTGTTGTTGCTGCGGCTGTTTCTGGATTTTCATGATGGGGTAAATTGTGCGAGCGAACATTAATGCGCTGAATTAGCTTAGAATGGGCACCGAGTTGCGCTTTGGGGCTGCGCCTCGACAGTTGCTTTTTTTGTTTTTGTTTTTGGGTATGCCTTTAATTGGCAGCCAGCTTGCGGGGTCAAGTGAAAAAGTGGCCAGCTTTTGTCAGCCAGCGTGTGTCGCACTTCAGACGAAACAAGCGAATAGCCTCTGCCATATGCAATGCCTATTTCTGGCTATGCCAGCGATACGAACTATCAACCATTTATGTATGTATGTTCAAAGTATCTGTAAACAAGCATACTGATTACACGCATACAAGCTCGTGCATAGGTATGTGTAAGTAGTTAGCTAGTTGTGGGGCCAAGTGTTGGCTAACTAATGGAAAAATGCTGATAAGAACTTGTAGCCAAGCAGGGCGACACGTCAAAGACGTTTGTGTCGAGAGGCGAGGGGCGCTATCAAACTTATAGATACAATAGCTACAAGATACACAATTCTGTTAGTGCCGCATTAATTATGCATGTACATACATATGTACGGCAGTGTGCTCAATTTCCTTACAGTTCCCAATTATCTGGCATTTTCTAAGGCAACTCGTTTGTGTTCATAAAAAACAGCAGGTAAATTTAGTCATGTGTAGAGGGCACTCGAAAGAAAGCTTACCCTTGCATTAATTACCCAAACTGTGTGAGCCGTGAAACAGTATATGAACAGCACAGCCCCAACGAAACCTTCACGAAAGTTTCGAAATACATTCAAACGCTGTATCCATTACTCAGACCAGAAAGTTCAAGATCAACAACAGCTTTACATGTGTTTTAGGTGCTTCTTCTAGAAGTGTCAATATGTCTCTAGTTGGAACGAATCGCCGGCCAAAAACAAACACAATAACCAATTTTAAACGCCTGTCATAACATTTTGTTGCAATGCACACTGGGCTTATGTTACGTTTCGGGAAATGATCTATGGGGGGAGTGCAGTGCTTCAAAACACATTCAGCTGCCTGCTGATATCATTAGCATGATAAGATAAATCAGCGCGAATTAAAACTTCTAGAACGGTCGGCTGAGTCAGTTTATGTATGTGTTGCCGCTTCGCAGTTCTATAGTTTCTCGAACCGAGAGAGCGGCCGCTTGTTGTCTGCCCCAACCCCGGCAAAACAATCTGCAGCAGGCAGCAAAACAATAAATGAGAGCGCGCACAGAGAGCGAGCGACTGAAAGAGAGAGAGAGAGAGAGAGTGAGAGGGAGCGCGAGAGAGGGAACGGCAGCAGAGCGAAAGAGATTGAGCGTGGAAAGCGCAGAGCGCGTTTATTTCGTTCTGTTTTATAATTTAAGATGTGAGGTTAGGAATACAGTGAAAAAATCTAAATAATTGATCAGAAGGGGCGTCCAAGCTGGCACACTAATGGAATATTGATTATACGCACCTTTGAACCAATTTGATTGCCGCATTGGCCGACCTGCAAGTGCACAATTTCCCTCATATTGTTAGGCGCTCTGAGACTTTGGTAAAGGTCAGGTAGATGTTTATTAAGTTGCTTCTCCGGTTAACCGACAACTTATCAACACGAATCGATAGATATGTATGTATGTATGCACAGACTATAATACACACAAACTAACACGCACGCACTAACACAATCGCAGACAAAAAAGCGAGGGAAACGGGGTTTTTGCTATTCGAATCGCTTTGGTTACGGTTTACACTATGAGCGATCGTCGCGCTCGCGTCAAGATTCCAACGTGCACTAAAAACGGCCACAGCTACAAATACTGAGCGAACCCCGAGAGTGGGTTTGCTGGGCGTTGAACAATGGTCAAGGGGAGGGGGTTGGCGCAACAGGGCAGCGGGCTGCGTCAGCAATAGTTGCGCCTTGGCATTCCACGCGTTGGAGTGGCAATGGCAAAGAGAGAGGCAATTCATAAAATTGTAGCGGCAGCTGATAAAACGCTCAGCCAGACGACAGAAAGTGTGCTGACAAGCTGCAAAACTAACAGCAGCAACAAGCACAATCACAAAAACAACACCAATAATGAATTATGTATGTATGTATGTACATATGTACATAAAAAACTGCCTGGAATCGTGGCGCGGTGCCGGCAGGTTTGTGGCATTTTCATTGCTCTTGTGGTTTCGTTGTTACTTGTTTTCGTCTTCTGCTTTTCTCCTTTTGATGCAGCAGCGTAGCGCGCTCTTTCTCTCCGCCGCTCTCACACGCTCTCAATGCATGACTGCGCATTGGAAGATTACGCAGAGTGAAAGGGATTTCAAGAAATGATACTCTTTGGAACGATTGGGCAGAATTAACGCCAGAGAGCGATAATGCACAAGAGAACAGCGAAAAGTGAGCAGAGAGCTGTAAATGCGAAAGAGAATGTGTAGTCTAGCATTTGGGCGCATTGAGCGTGAGGAGTTCGGAATCAGATTGCTGCAAATGAAATATCTACACACAATGTTCTTCTCTTGGTGAACGAAAAGAATCAAGGCATGAATGAGGAAGGTTGCTTGTTGTAATCATCACAGAGGACTCGGAATGGTTCATGAAAGGCATATTTAGTTCGACACAGTTAAGATAGGAATAGAGGTGTATAAGTTATAAGTCTGCGATTAATTAAAGAGGGAAGATCAGGGGACTACATATTTGAGTATGACGGCAACAAGAATTTCTTTTCTCTGTAAATTCAATTCTGTTTTGATTAATTGAATACTGTGGCGATTAAAAATTGTAATCAATCTTTTTTGTGTGCGGATCAATAAACTCCTTGGAGTTGATGAGTTTATGATCAAGACAGACAACTAGATCATTAATTTCATTAGAGAGAGAGAGAGAGTTTCTATTAAAAGTCATCAGGAGCAGTCTAGATGTAAAAGATTTATTTGACACCAAGAATGTAAGGCATGTACTATAATATATTAGAGCAGGCCACATCCTTATATGCAAGGCACAACAGTTCATTAGTCCATATTCAGGGAAGATTATTGATGATTTACATGCAAAAAACTTAAGGAACTAGACCAAGAGATAGTTAAAGGAACTATGATAAAGAAATTTAAATGCCATTATTGAAATTATTTAATGTTCAGTTCATTATCCATACATATTTTGACTTTATTGAGATCACTTGTTTTGTGTCTTTTTTTCTTCTTTTCTACCTTAAACACGAAATCGAAATATACAAGAATTGTTGATAGTTCGAGTTCCTATAAGCTTTTAGCTAGTCGCCCATTTCCGTAATTGTTTTATTTATAAAGTCGCGATAAAAGTTCACGCTCATATAGACATCGGGCATCAGTTTGTTACCACATTCATATGTCCATACGCTGACGCCGCACAGTTCACCCCGGATGACCAGCGGCCCGCCGGAGTCGCCACTGCAGATCGTGCGACCGTTGTAGCCGGAGGCGCAGAACACGTTGCGTGGCATTTTGCGGCCCAGCTTTTGGTTGCATTCGTCTTTCGAGATGAGAGGCACCCTTATTGTTCGGAGCGTGTTTTTGGTCCTGGTAAATTCGCTAGCGCCCCAGCCAGCCACGGTGGCCATAAGTCCGGCTGACATTTTCCGTGTGCAGAGGGGCAAATAGCTAACTTCTGGAGTTCTGATGGCGTTTTTAACCTTTATCATGGCAATGTCGGCGATGTACCTTAACTTATTGTAGCTCGGATGCATCTTTAGCTTGATTACGAAGTTTATGATCTCGTCAGGATAGAAAAAGGTCTCCGAGTTTGTTCGACCGGCGATCACGTGAAATTTCGTATAGTTCTCGTTTTCGAAGCAGTGAGCCGCAGTTAGAATGTGGAATTTGGTTAAGAGGCTGCCAGTGCAAGTCATTTTACTGCCCTTATAGATCTGCACTGCATAGCCACCCAGCTCCTGAATGCTGGTTTCTCTACCCGAAAATACCCTGGCCTTGACCAGCTGCTTATCGGGTAGTTCAGTTGTCGCAATAATCGGTGCGATCAATAGACTTAATATCACCGGAATAGGCTGCATTTTGAGCTGGGTTCTGTTTGAAAGTGTTTGACCAAGTTAGAACTTCTTTCATTGGCTCCTGAGTGACACACAAAATTGTTTGGATATGCTTCAAGGGCTTAAATATATTTGATATACTACGCTGTGTAACAATCAAAAACTAAGAGATATATAAGAGGTATATACATTCCACCTTTTTATTAAAATAATAGTTTATTAAGTTTCATCAAAAAAGAAACCTATAATAACTTTCTATGATAAAAATGTTATCATTTTTCTAAAATATAATATTTGAAAAATTATCACCATATAGAAAACTGTTTGTTCTGACAGACTGTATCATTGACTGAATGACTGACTGACTGACTGACTGACTGATTGATGATCAACGCACAGCACAAACCGTAAGAGTTAGGAAGCTGAAATTTTGACTTGCCTTACCTTATGTGATGGAAATGCATGCCAAGGCTGGGTTTTGGGAAATACCAGCCGCAAGTAAGGGAAAATCGCGAAAAACGTTTGTATGAAACAATTTTTTGTTATTATCCGTTCGAAAATCATTTTCACAGATTTCTGTTCGATTTCATTTGAGGGGTGGCATACACTTTTCGGAAAATCCATTCTTTCTCGGTATATGAGGGTCAAAGATCTGGTTTGTAAAATTTCGTGTTCCAAAGATCTTTACGAAAACTCACCCTTTTTGTGGAATCAAAGTCCTTGGTAGAAAATGCGATTGTTGGCAATTCCATTCGGAAAAATCGGAAAACGGTGATGTGAAAGTTATTTGTTTACCATCCGATAATTTTCAACAAACTTTGTGAACATTTTTCTGATATGCATTTCGCACTTTTTGCGAAATCGATTATTCTTGAATGAGGAGCACGGGTAATTAAGGAATGAAACTTTAAAGAAATCATTTATTATAAAATATTTGAAGTCAACATTTGCCGGTTAAGAATTGTTCCAAAAATCAAGTGTTCCGTTCTCCATTTAGCTTTTGTGTCAATTCGCCATGGCCTTTTCTATGAAGTCCCGATAAAAGTAGGCGCTCATATAGACATCGGGCATCTCGTTGTTGCCGCACTCCCACGTCCAGGTGCTGATGCCGCACAGTTCGCCGTTGATGACCAGCGGCCCGCCGGAGTCGCCGCTGCAGATTGTGCGCCTGTTGTAGCCGCCGGCGCAGAGCACATTGTTGGGCATCTGGCGTTCCATCTTCTGGTTGCATTCGCTCTCAGAGATGATGGGCACCTCCATAACACGCAGCGGATTGTTCTGCAGGGAATATTCGCTGTTGCCCCAGCCAGACACTGTGGCCACATTGCCTGCTGATGGCTTTACCGAGCAGAGGGGCAAGTAGTGCACATTGGGTCCCCGAAGGGGCGCACTTACCGCCACCACAGCGATGTCCGCAACGAACTTGGTTTTCTGATAGTACGGATGTATCTTCAACTTAAGCACTAAATTTTTCATGCTCTCTGTTGCAAAATAATTTCTTGGCACTGTCTGGCCGGCGATTACGTGATATTTTTTATAAGCCGCTTGTTCGAAACAGTGTGCCGAGCTGAGAATATAACGGGCGCTGAGTATGCCGCCGCCGCACACTAACCTATGGCCCAGGTAGATCTGAACGGCATAGCCGCCGAGCTGTTCGATGGTTTTCTCTTGGCCTCCATAAATCCTTGGCCTGACAAGCGTTCTTTCCGCTAGCTCAGATCTTGCAAGGAGCGTCAGATTGAGAGCTAAAAAAATGATTGCAGAAAACATTTTGGATTGTTTCCGGTGCCAATTTTCACACTTAACTGTTGGCTCCGTCATAGCTTCTAGGTTCAACTTATTCTATTAGTTCCACTTTAAAGTCTTAAATTACTTGAGTTATATCAATTTTTTCCAGTAACTGAGCTCATGCTCACATCGATGTCGAGTCGGCAAGTTTCCAAGAAGAATCCCTTGCTAAAAGTGGAGCGGGGCATGGAGATGGGTGGGTTAAATTAACCCTTTTGCCTTTCAGAATTTTCATTGGTGTTGTTGGACTTGTTAGAAAATCGCCGCACGTTTTGTTGCCAGTACATTTGCAGTTATGTGCTCATAGCGCACACGCACACTCTCACGCACACACACACACACACACGCATGTACACACTCAAATGGATACAAGGATATTCTATATAGATGTAGATGTGCGTGCGCCTCTTGCCAAATTGTCGATTTTATTATTTGTGTTTATATGATTTTTCAGCTGTTCTGCATTTTAAAGTGCCTGCCAGCGGGTGTACACGTACAAAAAACAGCACTAACTTTATGAAAAACGTATGTCTTCTCGTAATTTCAGAAAATATTTTCTTAACATGTGCATCTTACTGTCATTGTTTTATAAACAGAAAAAGTTTCTTTAAAACAAAATAAATGTACAAAATTGTTATTTTTATGTAGATTTACCTAAATTTATTGCAAATTTTTTCTGAGTGTAAGCCTGCAGGGGAAATGCCGCATAGCTATGGCTGGCAGGGGCATGGTCATAACATGCGGCGCGCGTTCTCAGCCTCATTTCTTATTATAATGTGAAAAATATCCTTTTACAAATTCAAAACGTTGAAATGTGTGCGATTTCTTTTGTTGCCGCTTTTAACTGCCAACATGTGTGTTCGGGTGTATGTGTGTGTGTGTGTGTATGTGTGTGCCGCTCTGATACCCGCGTGTATTGCTGGCATGGCAGTTGCCAGAGAGAAGCACGTCCTCGCAGAGCGCACGGATATGTTGTCCTACTTATTGAGCTGATGCTTCAGAATATTTATCATTTTGTGTTAAAATATTTTGCGCATCATTTCGCTGTAATTTTCTACATGCTGCATTAGTTGCCTCTTCCTTCCTTCACAATTGATCTGCCCACTCATTGTTGTTGATTGCAGCTGAAGCATTATCTGAACACGGACAACGAAATCTTCTTCGAGCAGTCGTCCAGATTCGATTTTAATTTAAGACTTTTCTAGTATTCGCAAGCTTCACTAACAAAAATGCATTTATTAATATTAATTTTTTTATATTTACATTCAGTTGAAATTTCAGAGATTATTTTTTAAGACGTTATTCCTAGTACGCATATACCAATCACTGCAGATTCATATTTTCTCTCTTCTATTTGAAGAAGCAAAAAGCGTCTTTTTATAAACAAGTACTGGGAAAACAAAAGAATATAATTTGAAAGAAAGAGAGAGAAAGAGAGAGAGAGAGAGAGAGAGAGGGAGTGACAGGGGGAGAGAGGGAGAGAGAGAAAATACATTCAGGCAAGAGTTTTGTTTTAACATTTTAATTTTTAATATGTATAATCAAAACAGGGCAGCTTGAAAATCGCACATTAATTTATGAGAATCGCAAAGTAGGGCATTTTTACAAATACTTTTTTTTTTATAATTATTTAACATCGCATACATAAATACAATAAGTGATGAAAGCTTGATATTCAGTCAGTAAATCAGCTATCATGGAAATTTAAATCGCCCAAACTAAATTTAAATTTTATGAACGAGCTCTTATTGCATTGCAATACTACAGAAAAAAAACATTTAAAATTTTGCAAAATTCATTTCGATTGCTTATTTTGCTGAAAGAGAAAAACAAATATAAAAGGAAAAATAACTCAAAAGCAGATTTCGCAAACAGTCATAGAAACTGAACGTGTTTTGCAGCTGCTTTTATTAGTTTAGTTTTTGAAATTAAATGTATTTGCATGTCATATGCAATTGGGCACATATGCGTCTGTGAACGATAGCCTCTTTTTTCTTTTGTATACCCTGTACGCACGAAGTGGCCAGGAGGGGTAAATTGATTTGGATAATAAGGGAGATATAAGCGATAATGTGAATAATCCTAATCAGCATTAAAATTGTATTTCATGTGTTAATTTGCTTGCTAAATTTGGTTAATTCGAACCGGCAGTTGGTTCCTTTTTATACCCTGAACCCATTAAAAATGGGTATAAGTATAAGCTGTCCGTCCGTCCGTCCGTATGTATGAACGCAAGGATCTCAGAACCTATAGGAGCTAGAGGAATTATAGATGTATATGCTCCTAGTTCCTGCGCAGATCCAGTTTGTTTCCGATAATCGATACCTTACTCCGTTTCCAAGCAATCGATAAAAATCGATATCGATATCATGTTTTTTGGGCAATTTTGGTAAATAATAAGAGCTAGAGTCATCAAGCTTGACATATAGCTTCTAAAAAAGTATATATATATTCATTTGATGTTGGAAGAAGAGGGTTCAGGGTATCCCCTAGTCGGGAGCTCCCTACTAGAACCTCTTACTTGTTTTTGTTTTTAAATAGTAATAAAATAAAGAAAAGGTTAATAACTAGAACTATTTTCTATCTTTTGTATTTGTTGCACCTTTTGGCAAATTAGAGTCAACTCTGGAACCAAGATAAAAGAGTTAATGTAAAATGTAACTAGATTTTGGCTACATTCACATTTCACATCGGCTGATGATTACAGAAGCTTTAATCTATATTGTGGGTCAGAGGGTGCCACATGCATGTGTATGTGAGTGTTGTGCATTTAGTTCTGACTACAGGGTATCATTTTATGCTTCTTCTTGTTTGACTGCGTTATAATACTGTTGCTTAGTGCTGATTCTTTCATTTTGTTTTTCACATTCTTTTTTGTTGCATTTTAAAGTGTGCAATTTAATTGCTTTTTGGGGTATTTTGTTTTTTATTGTGTTTGCTAGGCAAGTTTTTCATTGGCGAATATGTCAAAAATGCTTGTCGTCTGCAAATTTGACCATTGCTCTGCAGCAGCAACAGCAGCAACAACAACTATTACAGTAACCGTGGCAACAACAACAAGCATATAAAGGAAAATCGAGTGCGAAATGAAATTCACGCAATGCAGCAGGAGATTTATACACACTTTGTGCGTATGTGTGTGTGTGTGTGTGTGTGGCTGAGCTACAATAATTTGCTTTTAAGCTCAGGCTTCTAGCTTTTTATTGTCTTTGTGCATACATATGACACGCCAGCGCTCTCCTCTGCCGACCTGGCCACCGCCCCACCCCTTAGCAGTTAGCCAAGCAGCTGGCACCCCAGATAGCCCGAGTGTCCCTAGTGTCAACGGAAGCCCGTCGCAATGTCGGTTAGTTGAGTGCCATCGAAATTCCGGATTTAACAGCAAAGTAACCAAAATGCAATTGTTTTGCAATTGGCATTTTGACCACATTCTGACACTCTGGCCATATGGCCAGCGAGTGTCAACAGCGGCGACTGTAAATTGCCAAAAACTATATCCATATATATGTATTCGTGCAATACAAAACACACAAATGTAATGCATAGATGCATGCATACGTATGTAGCTCTGTCAGACGTACGTATACGTAATTTATTTAGCATTTCAAATATTTTCACTGTTCGCAGCTACACTGCACAAAAGCATTAGGCAGCAGTCAGTTGCGGGGCGAGCTTGCACTCTGTCGATATATGTTGAAATGTCCTTAATTGAAAATGAATTTGGTTTTAGGAAAAATGTGTTGTTCTTGTTGCCATTGCTGTTGTTGTAGCTTCTGCTGTTTTTCTTTTTTTTTTTTTTTAACTAGTTTGGAACGTTTTGTGTTTTATCTGCATTTGACGCCAAGCTGGAAACCAACGAAATGTTATCGCATTGTGGGCAAGCTGCAAGCTACATGCGCCGTTTGGTTGTGGGTGGTGGTGGTGGTGCAGCTGCTGCTGCTGGTGGTGGTGGTGGTGGCGCATACATATTTGCATATTTGCAAAGGCCTGCAGCGTAGACAGGCCAGGGGCCTGGTATGCTATTCTACACCACAGCTGCGTTGTTGTTTACTTAGTGTCGCCGAATCTGGACAGCATGGAACGGGTTTGGTTAAGTCGAAGAAGGGGCTCAGAGGGTGTGCTGCATACACACACACACACACACACACACACACACACACACAATTGCCAAAAACAATAGCCGCTTAGTGTGCGTTTCGTATGCGAATAGTCAAATAAAAATACACATATTTGAATTCGACAACGAACGAGTTGCCTTTGCTCTCCGCCTGTACCTCCGCCTCCGTCAACGCCTGCGTCGGGCTCAGTGTCCGGTCTCTTGTTCTGCATTTGATGAACGTACCAGCAAAATGCAATTGTATCTGTATCTATAACTGTAGCTGTGGCTATATGTGTATCTGTATCTGAGTATGCATTTATTTTGAATGGCACAGTTAGACAAATTGCACTAATGAGCGGCAGAAATTTTGCATAGACAAATGGCTGACCAACCAGACCAGCTTCTACAGTGCATATATGTATGTGAGTAGAATATATTTTGGGTTAAATGTGCTAGGCACACGTTCTTCACACGCTATACACGGCAATCTTCCGGAGGATCCTATTCTACGGGGTCCCAATAGGAGAAGATGTCTATATTCCTTCCATTGAGGCTCGAAATACTTCACTCCAAAATATTTCAGGGCACCCCGTAAACCTCCGACAACTGTAGTGTAGAGAGTATTTATCCCTCTTGAAACTCGTTATGTCATTCAGAATCTCGGTTTGGATATTGACAGTCGGGCTTAAACAAGATAACCTCATGGGAGGCGGGCTCATTGAATGTAGCGCTGTATTAGGAAACCTCTTACACTTCAATGTAAGAATAACTATCTATGATTGCCAGCAAGCTACAGATGCTGGACGAATCCAACTGCGTTGTAGTAGCCCGGGCCATTACTAGATACTGGCTGCTAGAGTAGAAGTTGCGATGCAGAAGAGCAGAAAGAGCAGCAGCAGATTCCACTTCCTCAAAATCATTCTCATTTATGATCTTACCAACTAAAGAT